GCCTCAAGTAGGAACAACAATCAATTCAACATGTCGAAAGAGTTGATACGATGATTCGTGAGAAGGTTTGAAGATGTAAGGGATGGGCTTGATGGGCAAAAAGCATGGATGGAAAGATAAGACCCATTGCTAATGTAAGGTAGGCGGGAGCCTAGGGTGGATAATCGTGTAGAATATGAAGCGGGTAGTAACATTGATGAAGGAACATTAGTAGATGCCGAGTTAGGAATAATGAGGGATAGAGGAGTTAGGCATAAAAGGAGAAGTAGAGATATTGTGAGAGATGGAGTTGACAGAAGTATGGGCAACATAAAAATGACAATTCTTTCAGTCAAAGGAATGAGTGATTCGAAAGCACAGTGGAATAAGAAGATCGAACTGATATTTGATTGCCACTACAACTCGGAGGAAAAGAAAGTAAAAATTGCAATACTTGAATTTACTATGCCATTACTCATGGGATTAAGTAGTGATATCTAGGAGGAGGAATCGTGAAAGTCCTATTAGTACTTAGGAAGAATTGAAGGCTGTTATCAGGAAGAGGTTCGTGCCTAATCATTACTATAGGGAACTTCATCAAAAATTACAAAGCCTTTACCAAGGTTTTAGGAGCGTGGAGGACTATCATAAGGAGGCATTGCTATGATTAGATGAATGTGAAGAATAATAGTTTTTGAATGGTTTGAATAGGAAAATAGTTAATGTAGTAGAATTGCAATATTATGTAGAATTGAAAGACATGTTGCATGTGGCTATGAAGTGGAGAGACAATTGAAGAGGAAGTGGATAGCTAGGTATCCATCGGGTTCTTCGGGTTTTAATTCTTCTTGAAAATCAAAGTGAGATAACAACAAAGGAGATGGAGTTATTTCGAATGGCAAAACTGAAATCCTAAAAGGAAAAGAGGAAAGTGCCAGCAAAGTTACATCCAAGCTGAATCCCAACCATCTAGGGGTCGAGACATCAAATGTATTAGGTGCTTGAGGTTGGGACACATTGTTTCTTAATGTCCAGACAAAAGGGCAATGATTTTGCGAGACATTGGATAAGTGGTGAACGATAGTGATGAGGACTACGGTGACATGCCAGAATTGAAGAAGGCTAGTGATGGAGATAAGATGGAATATACAGTGGGTAAGCTATTGGTCACGATGTGAGCTATTAGTGCTCAAATTGAGGCAGATGACCTAAAGCAACAACAGAAGAACATATTCCATACAAGGTGCCATATCGACAACAAGGTATGTAGCATGATTATTGATAGGGTAGTTGTACTAATGTGGCTAGCACTATACTTAATGAAAAAAAAAATTGGGGTTAACCATGTTAAAACATCCTAAACCTTACAAACTACAATGGTTGAATGAATGTAGCGAGGTTAAGGTGAATATGAAAGTTTTAGTAAGTTTCTCAATTGGAAGCTATCATGATAAGGTGATGTGCGATGTGGTTCCTAAGCATACCGAGCACATTTTGATGGGTAGGTCATGACAATATGATAGGAAAATAATACGTGATGGATACAAAAATAGGTATAGCTTCAACAAAGATGGAAAATCTATTATTCTTGCTCCATAAACAATAGCACAAGTGTATAAAAATCAAATTAAATTGAAACGTGAGGGAGATAAAAAGTTGAGAGAAATAGAGAGCGGGAGAGAAAATGGTGAGGTGGCTAGTAATAAGAAAAAAGAGTATAACCACATGAGGAAAAAGAAAATGAGTATTTCAAGAGGAAAGAAAAGTCAAAAGTGAATTTCTTTACATAGGGAATAAGTTGAAGAAGGCAATAGGTGAGAGCTAACTAATGGTCTTATTGGTTTATAAGGAGTCTCTCCTCAATCTTAAGGAATCTAATACATCACTCCCTAGTTTGGCTACTTCTTTATTGCAAGAATTCGAATACATGTTCTCGGAGGATGTCCCTAGTGGGTTACCATCCATTCAAGACATTGAACACCAAATTGATTTCATACCTAGAGTTGTCATTCCAAGTAGGGTTGCTTACCTAAGTAATTTCGAGGAAACCAAGGAGCTTCGAAGGCAAGTGAAAGAATTGATGAGTAAGAGGTATGTGAGGGAGTGTATGAGTTCATGTGTCGTGCTAGTGCTACAAGCAAGTGGAGGAATTGGTGAGTAAAAAGTATGTGAGAGAGAATATGAGTTCATGTGCTATGCCAGTGCTACTTGTGCCTAAGGAAGATGTAACCTAGATGATGTGTAGATTGCAGGGCAATCAACAACATAATTGTAAAATATCGTCATCATATTCCTAGGTTAGATGACATGCTAGATGAATTATATGGTTCATGCATATTTAGTAAAATTGATCTTAAAAGTGATTATCATCGAATTAGAATAATGGAAGGAAATGAATAGAAAACTGCTTTTAAAACTAAATATGGAATGTCTGAATAGTTAGTTATGCCATTTAGACTTACTAATACACCTAACACATTTATGCGATTAATGAAATTCGTAATAATTTACTTTGATGACATCTTGATATATAATAAGGACCTAATTGAGTATATAAAACATTGAAGATATGTGCTTGTAATTCTAGGACAAGAACAACTTTATGTTAATTTTCAAATGTGTATATTTTGTGTGGAAAAAATTTGTTTTTCTCAGATTTGTGATTAATGAAAATGGGATAGAAGTAGATGGCGAAGAAAATCAAGGCTATTAAGGAATGACCAACACCTAAAAGCATAACTAAGGTAAGAAGTTTCCACAATTTGGCTAGTTTTCATGGACGTTTTGTTAAAAATTTTAGCATAATTGTCACATTATTTACGGAAGTTGTCAAGAAAAGGGTAGGGTTTAAATGGATCGTCGAACAAGAACATGCATTTAATACTATTAAAGGTGGATTGTGTAAGGCATTGGTTTTAGCACTTCCTAATTTTGACAAAACTTTCGAGATTTAATGCGATGTCTCAAGGATGGTATTGGAACTATTTTAATGCTGAATGGAAAGTCGATAGCCTACTACAGTGAAAAGCTAAGTGGAGCAACTCTTAATTATCCTATATATGATAAGGAGTTATATACACTTGTTCGAGCTTTAGAAACATGGCAATACTACCTATGGCCAAAGGAGTTTGTGATTCACACTGACCATGAGCCCTCAAAACATTTGAGAAGTCAAAGTAAGTTCAAAAGAGGCATGCAAGATGAATGATTTTCATTGAGACATTCCCATATTTAACGTCCTTAAAAAGATTAATGACAATGCCTACAAACTAGATCTTTCTGGTAAATATAATATTTCAACAACTTTTAATGCGTCTGATCTTTCTCTTTTTGATGCAATTATAGATACGAGGTCGAATCTTGCAAAGAGGGAGGGGATGATGTGATCCAAGGAACAAAAACAAGTCCAGACAAGGATCCGTTGATCGTTGAAAAAGGGATGCATGGTACAAATTGTGGGTGAATTTTTTATTTTCGCAAATTTTCCTAATTAAGTTAAAACACTATTTTTTTGGTACCTTCTGTAAGCTTTAGGATTCTTTTTTTCATTTTAACTAGGGTTTCATGGGTCCCTTATAAATAGAACTCATTATTTCATTATAAAAAACTTTTATTTATTCATCAGTTGAGAGATATTATTTGTAAGAAATTTTTGTTTTCAATCTTGTGTTCTTCATTGAATTAATTTTGCGAACTTATCAAAAATTAATTTTTGTGACCTTCAAACAATTCGAGTCTTGAATCTTGTAATCACGGGGTCAACATATTGTCGCGATTGTGTTGGTTCTATGATTCAATATTTTTGGGTCAAACTCAAAACTTTGATTCATTGGCTTTCTTAGGTTCGATTCAATCTTTTTATGGGTTTTTTAGCTGTCATTGCTAAGTGGGTTCGCATCAGAAACCATGATTGTGTTCAAATCATATCAATTGACCATCAAGTAGTGCTAGCTAGGTAACATGTTTGGTAAGAAAGATTGAATTGGATCTTTTAAATTAGTAAAAAAATTGAAATTCTATTCGTTAAATTATTGAATCTTGTACGTGTTATGTTATGGTATGGATCTCAAGCAAAAGTATGCCTTTTTTTTATTTTATTTGGAACTAATCAAATAACTGGATCAGAAAATTCATCGATTATTTGAAGTAGATAATAACTATATGAACTTCCGTTAACTTATTGAAAATGATACAACGCCTACTTTTATAATCTAGAATTGAATTCTATTAGTTCTATGATAGCAATTATGGAATATCCAACTTTTTGCGTGATAATGCTATATAAGTACTGAAATCACGCAATTGATGTAGGCACAAGTGCGTTATGGTGAAGCGATTGGAATTTTTTTTTTTTTATTTGTATTTTTATGTCTGAACGGGAAAATTTTTAGCAAAGCATCTCCATTAAACATCGATTTTTAATGGGTCGAGTCGAGATAAATACTCTCCAACAGCCTTGCTGGATCTCCAGATCGAATAATTAGTTTACAAGAAGCTCTTAGGGGCACCCTAGTGTCAGTAGGGACCCAAAGAACTGCCTTCGCTTTTAGCTTTCATTTGTAGATCTCCCCCAGCGTACCTTTGATCATTGAGCTAGAGTCCTTCCACACGGGACTCCCATATCACTATGACCGACTTTCGCCTTTGTTCGACCAATCGATCTCACAGTATGGATTTAAGGTGACTTTATCCAAATTTAAATATAAATAAATGAAAATACTTGCTACAATGGTTCAAGTGATGAATTGGGTGCATTGTTCAAAAAAGTATTCTATTTTTACAGTTACATTATTTTAATAAGTTTTTTCATTTTATTTGAGTGTCATTTTTTTGTTATATCTTCTTTTTCTTCAGATAAATCTAAAACTTCAAAATATATCTTCCCACGAGCTAAAGAAAAAAGACACTTCAAATATTTTTTTATTTCGAGACAAGACGATAGTATAATATTATATCAAAATCAACCAGCAAAGATGCATTGGATAGTCCTACAATTGGACCAACCAAGGAAAGATAATCGATAACTGCAACTACCCAACAATTATTGAAAAACAGCTGGTCCACAATACTAATGCTATAATCTTAGTCTAATCTATTTGCTGCAATATTTTAGAAAAGAAAAAATCTTTACAATAAAGAAGTGGAAATATTAGGACAGGATTCCTTGACCTTTCGTGAGGTACAATTACAGATCCTTAATGAAGTTAAGAGGGTGCAGTCTTTTTTTTTTTGTATAAAACATAGTAACTTATTTTCAAAGGAACTTATTATAGTTGACTCTTTTTCAACTGATGATGTTAAACCCCACTATTAAATTGCATTAACCGATCATTTTTCCCGTACAAAACAAACAACCAAATATAAGGTGGAGATATAAAACAAACAAATGAACCAGAAGAGGAGAGGAAGAAACAATAATCCTTAAATTTCCTCCTCTTCTTCGTGTGTTCAGGGTTCCGAAACACGTTGAACGAAGAGACTCTATTCGAACTGAGAAGAAAGTTTTGTCCGAAATAAAACAAAGCAATGGATCCGAATTCCCAGTTCAAATCAACGAGATTGTGTGGCCTGGTACACATGATTCTGCAACAAACAATTCTGGAGGGACGACAGATTGCTCAGCTTATCTTCTGAGGTTGGAGCAGGAACCATCAGCTGATACCCTTTCGGTGCAGAATTTATTTTTCAGAACTTTTTCTAGTTGCTTGAATATCAATGAAAATAAACCTGTCAAAGAATGAAAAATTAAAAATAAAAAATGGCGAAGAGAGCTTTTAGTTGGGTAGCATAATCTGTATTTCAATTAGAAAACTAGGGAAAAGAACTACATATTCACCTACTAAGCATGCTTGGCAATGAAAGGAAAATGAGTTTAAGAAAAATTTGAAAAAATTATTTTACCAATCTGAAACAAAGAAGAAACTAGAAGATGAGAAAATCCTTCCTGGTCAGCACAACAATAAATCACAAGTAGCAATATTGTTATAGATACAGCTTTCAGGATAAATTTTCAAAACAAACTTAGGCTGATCGAGGCTGAGAATGGACAAAAGAATGTCTTGTTTCAAGAGTGTAGATGAGCTAAAATAGAAGTCAAAGGCACTGGGGTGCATTAGTCATGGATTATTCTACCATTTTTAGCAAATGTTGATTAAAAAGTGAAAGGCAGATAAAAGAAATCAGATAACCTGAGCTGGAGCTTTCTTTCTGGTGTAATGTAGACCTAACCAAAAGTGTTCCTGGAATTTGCTGAAAGACCTAAATATAAAATAGAGAGTTAGAACTATATCCAAATTTACCAGAGATTACCATGATAAAAAAAAATTCTGGGGAAACGGAAATTACTGAAATGCGGAACTGCAGATCATCTGACTGACAATTGTTATCATTTGAAGTCCTGGATATCTCCAACTCGTTTTTGCATTGAACAGCTTCATTCTCATTTTGTGTCTCACTCTTCAGAATCGTGTTACAATGATTCTGTGAAGCAGTGATCTACAAAATGAAAGTAGTCAACAGTAAGAACATGGAAGTCACACAATCAGATAAATTACACCATGAAATCACTGAGCATACATCAATATTGAATGTGGAAGCATTTAGTTTACAGGATGCACCACAGCTGCAGAAAAAAGATTCCACTGACTGCAACACGTGAAATGCGCTATGCTGACGTTGAAGGCCCTAGATAAACAGTGTACTGAAATATGAGATGTGTGTACACAGAAACTATAGATAACATAACCATGGGCAAAAAGCACAGAAAGTCCAAAGAATGAAATGCTGTACAGATACAATATGTACAATTTACTCATTTTATCCTAAAAGTCTAAAGCTGGTTCATGAAAACCATGAGCATCCGAAGGTGATGTGCATAACCCCCTAAAAGTTTGAAGGGGGTAAACTTCATAGGAAAAAGGGCTAATTATACCTAAAACCCAGGAGAAGATATACTTGTGAGTACCATTTGAAAGCATTTATGTGACGAATATTTGGCACGGTAATCCTGTAATACTCAAGTCTAATTAAGGAAAGGCACCATTTCCTTATGGGATTATCGCTGCCTTGTATCCAATGAAAAGTTTGACATAGTCCTAGTCTCATATTTTCCATGCTCAAAGTTACTTGTGTGAAATGCATCTAATCTATGACCTTTTTAGAGGAAATCTTCTACCTCCCTCGTTGGAAATCATGAAGTAATAACTACATTACCACCCCTACCAGAAACCCCTAAAAGTTGCCAATACCAGTACTGCATCCCGTAGTCAAAATTTCAACAAATTAACATGCCCCTTCGAGTTTGAAGGTTTGATCAGACATGCTACTGCAATATCAGCAGTTTATTTTCTAATATATACATTAAGTCCAGTACAGATGACAAGGAAAAAATAGCAGCACATATAAAAATTTAAGTAGCTGCAAATAACATGATGTTTGATTTGAACTAAATTTATATTATAAATTGCTCATATTTCGAAATGCCTTGGCATCTAAAGTTATCTAAATGCTATGAAGAAGATGAAAAGCATTAGTAAACCTCTAGCATGAAAGACAAATTTTTCTTCTCGGTCACATGTGAAAATAACATCTTCCTGGAGGGAGGCATAAAAGACCATGCAAGCCCCCATCTAGATGTCTGGCCTTGGACAAATTCTGTTGTCTTTACTACAGTGACTCCAACATTCCAAAGTTTTGATGTCAGGATGTTGAGGTTTGATTTTCTTCCAACCATTGAAGTGTACCACCTAAAATAAAGGGGAACAAATGAACAAGCAGGAAATTGAATGGCTGGTTTTAACAGAATAATTATGCATGGAAGAGCATAAAAAAGATACCGAAATGCACGTTTCAGTTGAGCACTGTCTTCAATTATGCGAGTAATAAAGGCCTCTTCACCTCCAAGACATACCATCTCCTCCGGAGTACCACCACAAGAAGTCTTTGGATTCAATCCTGCTTCCTCCATTGTCATGAAGAATGGGGGGTTGCACATACAAAAGTCAAAACTTTCCCCATCCTTAACGACACCTACAAGAACAGGTGGCCCATGATAACTGTTTTTGACCGATTGGCTTCTGAGTGAAAATGATGGTGAAGGTCCCATGTCGACACTTACTGTATTGGTTGAATCTACGTAACTATTAATATTATCTTTCTGCTTGTTTTGCAATTCTTCCGCGTCAAAGATCTTGGTCTCAGTATCAACTCTTCTTATTTCAATCAATTCGGACAAATGTGGGTTACTCTTGACATTTCTATTTGCCCACTCTATGGCCACATCAGTAACATCTGCAAACAATTGAAGCAGCATTAAAACAATATTATAAGGTGGAACAAATAACTTCTTGTTGAAAAGATTAGATTAAAGAACATAAAGCCCAAATACTACCTGAGCCCACAAATGTCCAACCTAGAAGAGATGCACCAAGGAGAGGATATATGCAATTTGCACCAGTTCCAATATCAAAACCTTTGACAACACTGTTGCCCCGAGTGCAAGGAATGAGATCTGAAGCCAAAAGATCTTCAATCCAATGAATGTAATTTGATCTGTTTGGGACTGTTGGGCAGAGCTGCCCATCGGGAATCCACCTATGATTTCAAATCATAATCTCTCACGTGCTAGAATTATATTTCAACAACACACCCCATATTTCATGTTTAAGATAAAACGGTAACATAATTCAAGAAAAGTTCAAATTTTAGTTATTCATCTCTAAGCAGTTTAACTTCGTATAAAGAAACTTATATCGTACTCTATTCCACTGAACTAAAAGTATAAACAGTGAGTCAGTGACACGTGCACAAAAGAAAACGTAAAACTGAGCTTACTATCCAATATCTAAGCAAAAACATATAAATTAGCTCACATAACTAAGCTAATTGCTACTAGTTTAGCTGTAAAAATCAATAATCCGACACCAAATTCCTGCAAAATTAAGAATGATGAAAAGAATCTTGATTCAACAAAATTCTTTCATATTTGACACCCAAACAAAATGTACCTTTGCTAGCTCAAAAATAAACAGCAAAAAAAAAATAAAAAAAATACTTCCATTATAATATAATTGCATATGTTATTACCAATTGAGGCCATGATCATGGAGAAGCAAGACTCGGGTTAGCTCGCGCGTAGCATTAAAGTCGGTCCAATCGATTCTGGGGCGGCCATCGAGGGAGTAGAAAACATAGGGCTCGAAGCTCGGGTACAAAGAGGCCAAGAGTCCGAAATCGGGAGGGTTTTCAGAGTACTTGTTTCGAGGGTGGATAACTCGCCTTTCTCCGCCTCTCTTCCTCCTCTTCTTGCTCGGCATCACCGCCGCTCTGTTTCGCCTCCGGCAGTCTTAAAATCGTGTTACAACACCCTTCTTCATTTGAGGAAATACATGGAAATGGCCATTTGGCTCGGCCATATTTCAACGATGGTCTTGACCATTAAAAAAATAATAATAAAAAATAAAAATAGGAAGATAAAAAGATAAAAGTTGAAATTGAATTTTATATACCATTTCCAAAATTACCCCATCTTCCACAAAAATAATAGACGAGAGGAAAAGGTTGAAAAATGAAAAAATTCACACAATCTTTACATCCGGGATTCGGTCGAAGTTGCTATTCTCACGATCTACCCAACGCCAACCACCACAAAACTCGATCATTATTTTCAATATTATTTATTATTTTTTTGTTTTTGGAGATTAATAGGAGTGTATTCAATTGAAACTTTTGAAGACTTCGATAAATTTTTTTATGAAATTAGTGAAAGTCTTTCGTAGAATTCTATAGATTTTTATTTTAAAATTTTTATAAACTTTTGTGGAATTTAAAAAACTTTTGAAAATTTTCATTTAAAATAAAATTCATATAGATCTGGTATGAAATTCTCAAGTTCCCATAATTTCTTTTCCTTCCCCTTCTCCTTCTTCTTCCCATATAATAAAAAAAATTGAAAAAATAAAAATTTAAGACCTTAATTAAATAAATAATAATCAAAATTATATATATGATTTAATATTATTAGTATAGTATACTTTTAAAAATAAATAAAAATTAATATAGTGAAATTTAATTATAAATTTTTTATATAAAATTTTATAATTTAATAAAAAATAGATATTTTGCACAAAAAAAAATGAATGAAAAAAAAAGTTACAAGATTCCAATTTAATTTTTTCATAAAAAATAAAGATAAATAAAGATAAATAGAATATAATCAATAGAAATAAATAAATTTTAATCATACATGTTCATGGAAGATTAAAGGAAATAAAGATTAAAAAAATATATTTTTTGTGTGAAATTTTTCCAAAATCTCGTGAATAGTGAAAGACAAATTTTAAAAATTTATATAAGTGTTTTCTACTTAAAAGTTAGTACTCCAAATACTTTTATAAACGTTTCTAGAAATCATTAAAATTTGAATACCTCAAGACTTAAAGAAACTTCTAAAAAGTTTTAATTGAATAAACAGTAATTTTTAGAGATTTTTTAAAAGTCTATAAAAGTTTCAATTAAATACATTGTGACTTTTAGAGAATCTCAAAATGTCTTAATTGAATGCCCCCAACTTTTAAATCTCCAAAAGTTATTAAAAGTCTCGGTTGAATACATTCTTCTAAGAGATTGAATTGTCATTTTACACGTTTTGTGAATATGTGTATTAAATTATTATTTATGATGTTTATTCTTCATTATTTAAGTATATTAGATGAATTTTGGCTAAAAAAAAATGCTTTAACTCGCAATAAATGGCACAATCGGACTGGGCTAACTGTTCTGCCCAAATCGACTATTATGGGCCCACTGACATACATATTTGATTTTTTTTTCTTTCCCGAAATTTTTATTTCCAAAATATCAATACACATTAAGAAATTAAGAAAATGGAAACAAAACCCATAGCACATGAAACACATACATTATTGATTTCGAACGCATAAAACAAAACAGTTTAAACATTTTCCTCTGCTATTGACTCTGAAATCTCATCGTTTACACCATTTTTCTCCCTAATTTAGACCCATCTGTGATGATAATACCTTTATCCATCACAAAACAATCTTAAAACACCCAAGTTTCGCTGAAACACAAAAATAATACATTAATAGAAAATAAAACCAAACACCAAAATACCTCAGGAACATAAATTAATACCCCAAACAACGAGTGATAACAATCATTACTCAACTCTGAAACATACCCAAATACAAAAACAAATGATCTTCAACTAAACGAAATAGCATTATGCATATTGACTCCCTATAAATTCATAGAATGTCAAACCACGTCATCCAAGTGCTTAAACTATTAGAGGGCAGGCAAAACAATAATAATTTCGCATACTAATCATTTCTGTAACACTTAAACTATACAAATCCATGCATACAAGCAGTGGCGAATCCAGAAGTTTGAGTCAGCACGAGCAGCTATTAACTATCTACCGTTGGCTGTAATAAAACATTAAGGGAGTGTTTGATATGCATTTTTATGTAAAAATGTATTTTAGAATAGTAAATTGATGTGAAATGTGTGGTTGAAAAATAAGGAATTTTTTTTTATTTACGTGTAATATTGTTTTAATAAAGAATGTGTGGTTGAAAAGAAAAGAGAGAAAAATACATTTTGAAGAATATGGCTACCAAACGGTAGGGGTGGGCGTGGGTTGGGTTGGGTCGGTTTTCGCCCCAACCCTAACCCAACCCAACATGATCGGTTTGGTCAAAATTTAACCCAACCCAACCCGTGTAAAGTTTGAAACCCAACCCAACCCAACCCAATCAAGTATCGGTCGGGTTGGATTGGGTTGGTCGGTTTATGACAACTTGTTAATAAATATTAAAGTTATTCATTTTTGGGTGTAAAGCATCACTAATATAGTCCCAGAGCTTCAAAATTTACAAAACTAATTACGTAAGCATAGATAAAATTCAATTGAGACACTAAAGAGCAAAAATCACAACCAATTTAGAAGTTGGTTTCTCACAAAATTCTCTAATAGTGGGATGGGATTGGAACTTACAAGTTAAAAAAATTTCATCAATACAACATGTTTCAAATCATTAAAGGGCTTCTTTTGGATTTGGGAGTGACCGAGTGAGAGGGAGGGGAGGGAGAGGGAGAGGGAATAGAGAGATTTTAGGGCTTCTTTTGGATTTGGGAGTGACCGAGTGAGAGGGAGGGGGAGGGAGAGGGAGAGGGAATAGAGAGATTTTAGGGCTTCTTTTGAATTTGGGAGTGACCGAGCGATTAGATCCAAGAGTTTGAGTCAGCACGGGCGGCCATTGATCATTGACCGTTAGCCGCAATAAAATATTAAAAGTCCTTTTGGTATTCATTTTTTTTGCAAAAAATGCATTTTGGAATGATGATTTGATGGAGAACGTCTGAACGTGTGCCTAAAAATAAAGAAAAATTTTGAATTTACGTGTAATATTATTTTATTGAAAAATGTATGGATGAAAAGAAGAAAGAAAAATGTAGTTTTAAAAAAAGGGGGAATCGAGCAAAGCTTAAAATATAAATATAACAATTATTTTGTTCAAAATGAATATATATATATATATAATTCTGTTATAAGAATAAATAGAATTCATCAAATAACATTGTTGCCAAGTTTTGTATAATTCAAAAGAAGAGTGTGAATTCGAATATTTAAAATTGTTTGCATTAAAACAATCAAAACCTAACAAATATTATTTTATTAAATTTAATAATACAGTTCAAAAGGTACCATAATGGTTAAGTTCACCACAACCCTTGCTTGAGATCATAGGTTCAAATCCTCATTGTCCCTCCTTTATTGAATTTTGGTAAAAATTATAGAATAAAAATAATACATAACAAGTCCATTGACAAAGATTCGAACCTAAGACTTGAAAAATATTAAAGCTGGCTCTCACCAAGTAAGCTACAAGAATGTTTGAAAATAAAATCAATTACCAACAATATAAGGTAAAAATTTAATCTATTACCAACAAAAAAAAATATATATATGAAAATGAAATCAATTACCAACAATATAAGGTAAAAATTTAATCTATTACTAACAATATATATATATATATATATATATATATATATATATATATCCCGACGGATCCAGCTAGGGCGGCCTCTGGATCCGCCACTGCATACAAGCATAAAAATCAAATCTACTATGTACGTAAATTGGGGTTTTGCATTAATTATTTAAGAGCCGGCGAAAAAAATAAAGTAAAAAAATAGATTCCAAGTAAAATAATACATTAATAGAAAATATAACCCAATACCAAAATACCTCAGTAACAGATATTAATAGCCCAAACAATGAGGCTTAGCAATCATTACTCAACTCTAAAAACATACACAAATACAAAAACAAATGATCTTAAACAAAACGAAATAGCATTATGCATATTGACTTCCTATAAATTCAAAGAATGTCAAACCACTTCATCCAAGTGCTTAAACTGTTAGAGGGCAGGCAAAACAGGAATAATTTCGCATACTAATCATTTCTGTAACACTTAACCTATACAAATCCATGCATACAAGCATAAAAATCAAATCTACCATGTACGTAAATTGGGGTTTTGCATTAATTATTTAAGAGCCAGCAAAAAAATTAAAATAAAAAAATAGATTCCACGTGAAAAAAAAATTACCAGAGATATAAAAAGGTTGAGGATTTTAAGGGCTCAGGAGTGGCTCCGTTGTATTGCAGTAGAAAGGGGATCATCTTTGTAGACAGCTAAACCTGAACTATAAATGTTACACCTTTCACTAAGCCACCTCGAAGAATCACGCCTACTCCTCAGCGAGGCTCCATGTGTCCAGTCGAAGTGGTTCCGAAGTGACATGAGCCTTGCCCGAACAGAGGCTTTTTCTTCGAAGTAATTGTCGAGGTGTCCTCCTTATCGAAGTGTGGGGAGTGTCAAGGCATTATGCAACAGAGGCCTTTCTGCCGCCACTTTCAGAGATGTATCTTTGTGTCAAGATCCTTTTTTATTTGCATGGATTGATTGATGTGACATCTCAACCTCATGTCAACTCACTACTCAGAAGAATTAATTACTTGCCCCCTCTAGGATGCGGCTAATTGACGCCTACGAGCAGATGTCTCACATCGTCAAATGCATACACGTGTCCCACATCCAACGCTACCTCTCGCTTATAAATACCAAAGGTTTGGTAAGAGGCAAAGGTAATGAATTTTTCTCGTATTTGGCACTCCATACTTAAGTAAAATATGTTCTCCTCCCTACTCTCTTGCATAATTTCGGCACCGTTTTGATCACCGTCCACTGACTTGACCATCGAAGTATATGCGGCCGCCACCATCCCCCGCTGGTTCCGACCGTGTGCGTCTGATCATTTGCTGTTGTGCATAGGAAAAAACACGTGGAGTAGCTCTTGATTGGCCATGTGGAAAGTCCAATTTGCGA